ACACACACACACACACACACACACACACACACACACACACACACACACACACACACACACACACACACACACACACACACCACACACACACACACACACACCACACACAGGTACGAATGCATGCGCGAATGCAGAGGCGCAGGTGTGTATACGCACAGCGTGAACATGCATGTGAATATGTTGTCCTTGAATTAGGCCGGCGAGTGCGCTCGCTCAAGGCACCTTTGTAACGGCTAGCCAAAATGAGGCAATTTCTATCACAGTACTTCCCATTATTCGCGAATAGATGTCCACTGCATTACAATTAACTGGCTACGTGTAACAATTGTTAGTTGCCAATTTTCGCCACAGTCTAGATTACCGTTTATTGGCCGCGAGTTGATAATGATTGACGCAGTATGCGCCAACTGCTCCACATGTAGAATGATGTATACGTTATTATTATTATTATTATTATTATTATTATTATTATAAGTAGGTATACTATTAATCAATAGAACGGGAGGTTTCCAAATCTTACGCTGGTTGGGCTCGGGCACGCGCCTATTTCCATGGATGCATGCTCGGAAGCACACGCGCGCACACACGAGCGCGTGTAATGAAGCGAATTCAGCCATACTTATTTATAAGAATTTACATCGGCAGATTCGGTGACAGGGACTGGCCTCGGGCGACTAATCACTCACCTGCCTCATTAGTGCCAAGGCAGTAGGTCAGTGGTCACTTGCCCCCCCCCCTATCGAAAGTAAAGAACGCGATCCATGTTATGTGGACGAAACGCGTGACATACTTAAGTCACGTGGTTCGGCCTGTAGCGAATGACTACACTAACTTCTTTGTTTATTTTACATCTAAATGGTTTAATTATTTTTTCTTCATATCAAGCTCCAGCGGATCACACACGTTCTTCTTTATTCTCTTATTTTCTGCCTATGTCGTTTTATGTAACGTAACGAACGAACGTATCTTAACGAACGAACGTATCTTAACAAACGAACGTATCTTAACGAACGAACGCACGTATCTTAACGAACGAACGCACGTATCTTAACGAACGGTTAATCTGAAACAAATTCAAAGAGCACATTTACTATTTACCGTGTGTGCTATGCTGTATGTGTAGCTCGCTATGGACAACAAACTTTCTGGTAAATACAATTCAAATACACGTACGGCAATCACAGCCGAATCTGCTACTATTAATTTAGAAAGACATTAATAATTATTTATAAACTCAAATACCTTACGGTACCACGCTGGGTTCTTTAGGGTTTTAGAAGCACATTAAAATTCGCGTCTTCAACGGTAAGCCACAATGGCGAAAAGAGCGCGCGCGTCACATCTCTTAGCAACTAGCCGGTATCAATGCGCTGCTGCATAAAGTAGTGCACCGCGTAACCGCGTAGCGGCAGGAGTTGTCACCAACACGGCCAAAGTTGTATAAAAAGGCCCGCTTTAGAACAGAAAGTCAGAGTCGCCTTTGCTAGATGTGAGTATGGTTTGAGTTGCATTGACTTGTTGTTCTGGACCCGGTTCCACAGTCGTGGATTAATTCTTAACTCTGAGTTAAATTCCTTAACTCTGAGTTAAAAGTTAACTCAGAGTTAAATTCCGTTCCACAGTCGTGGATTAACTTTAACTCTGAGTTAAATATGCCTAACTCTGAGTTAAAATTTAACTCTGGTATGAACGTAGATTAAACTCTTAACTTAGGGTTAAAAATTAAGTTACATTCGATTTAGTTATAGATATAGTCTTCGGTATAATCCGTTAGACTTTGAAGACTATTTTATACGAGGTTAGTTTGGCTGTAGGATACTAGACTGCCCCGTGTCCGATCCCCCGCTGGCGCTGGAACATACGGTGTTTGTTTAGGTGGGCATATGTGTCCATGAAACAGAGTATTCGCGTGACGTCAGTGAACGTCAGTGTGGCGTCAGTGGCTATAACACGTACGCGTATATAAGATAGCCGAGTCGGTTAATTAGTGTTAGGGTTAGGGTTGGGGTTAGGGTTAGGGTTTTTGCATCATTCCTTGATATACGGAAAGTCTGATGCGGAAGTTGATATGCGTAGTATGGAATATGACCATGCCGGTATCATGCGCAACCACCAGCACCATCAGCAGGCTGTATGCATTCAACTTCGAAGATAGCCGAGTTCGTGCGTGACGTACACTGACGTCACGCGGATACTCTGTTTCATGGAAACATATGCCGACCGTTTGTTTACGTTTGTTGAACATTGGTCGCCATTGATGGCGTACCAACACTGATCCCGGCATCCGTACTGTGATAATACTGGAAAATGTAGGAAATAAAACGATTTCCCAATAACCGCGGCTGTTAAAGCGTTGTGCTAATGACGAGAACGTCGCGGGTTCAATCCTCGCATTGGCAAAATATTTTCTCTCATTTAGTTATTGCTGCCGGTTTTTATTATAACGTTTTTTCATTACACCTTCTACCATGTTCGTGCTTCCATCGTCTATGCGTCTATCATGCGTCTATCATATTCGTCTGTTCTAACTACGTGGAATTATGGGATACTAACTCTGAGTAAAAACATTTAACTCTGAGTTACTTAACTCAGGATTTAATCCATGTTTATGAAACCCAAATTTAACTCGGAGTTTACTAACTCAGAGTTAGTGAGTTTAACTCAGAGTTAGCTTTAACTCAGGGTTAAATTTAATCCACGACTGTGGAACCGAGTCCTGATCTGTATTTGTGTGTGTAAACTACTTTGAGACTGGTAAACTACTTTGCTATTGTGTAAACTACTTTGAGACGGGTAAACTATCTTGATACGGTTTATTGTGCAGTGTACATTTTGCTGTGCTTATTGTTTAGTTGCGTCCCGTGTACGCGCCATGCCCCTAGAGGGATTATAATATGTGTGTATTACTCGGTAAAGGATTAATAGAACTAATTGTTGTACACGTACATCTTGTTTCTGTCGAACGTTATTCACGCTCTCTCTAATAATCGTGCTATCTAATGGTAATATTTTACACGCGCCAAAAGCACGAACTTGGTACACTATACGACGAGCCTCATTACACGCGGAGCGGGGTGATTTCATGGCTTTGGATAACAGTTTTTAAAATACTGGCGTATATACGTTTAATTACCTGTTATACGTCGTTAGACAAAACTGATAAAATGTGGATGATTGCGTTTTCTTCACAACTATAATCGGTTTACGTAGACCATAACAACAATTTAATGATAAACATTTCATGTACATAAACATATTTATACGTTTCATATTTTCTAAGCTACATTTCTGCCAACGTTGTTACAGCGACATATAAATTTAAGAATTCGCGTAGTCCTGTGTGATCTGTCATACTCATCTAGATGTTAATTGAAATATTAATCTAACCGTCGCTGCTTGTACGTTTTACTTCAAGAAAATCCATTATATGTCGTTATCGTTAATGATCTATAGCTAATTACACGCTTTGCTCCGTCCACAAAATACTTTTTATTAGTTAGTGGATAATTGGTAATCGATGATAATTAAATAAAGGAATGAGTAAAATCCACACGTGTGTGCGTGCAGTCGAGCGTGCGCGCGTGTGTCTTTATGCTCGTGCATGCACAGGCATCTGTGCATGCTTGCGGACGTGTGGGCCCTTTAAAACATGTTTTCATTTATATAATATATAGCATGCATAGATGATATATAACGCATTGCAATTCGTTACTTTTGTTAGTGTGATCCTGGTGTCAGCATGAAGAGATACGTCGATGAAGTGATTTCGTCGCCCATCAAGCAAATGCTCTTCATCAGCGGCTGTTCGAAGCTAGCCGAACCGGTGACAGAGATGTCAATGCATTGGAATATGATATCAGTGCGTAATAAACCCGCCATGATTTCAGTCACCACTAGCGCTCTAATGTTATTAACGTATGTATGATAGTGCACCATAGATATTAACCCTGAGATATTACCCCTAAATATTAACGCATACAGTGCATATACCTTCACACGATACAATAGTTAGCAATGATTTGTCCACGACTGCATTCTCTATACTTCTACGATTACAAATATATATATATATATAATATATATATATACTACACACGTTTATATATATATATATATATATATATATATATATATATATATAATGAGCATTTATAGCAATATCGTTGCGTTATCTGCTTGGCATATGCGCATCTACCATTTAACGCATATATGTATAGGCACAACTGTTATAGTAAACTACGTTAGTACTCATGCGCCTCGTTCTGCGTAGATGGTAGTGGTGCAGTCCCCGGCCATTTCGAACAAAGAAAAGCACCCTTACACATTTCGAAACGATATTAGTGATGGAGCTGCGATGGAGCCGAAAGTAGCACTAATGAAACATTACAAGTGGAAAAAAGTAGCCTTCATTGCTGAACTCGTACCAATTTTCACATTGGTAAGTTATTGAACAGGACACATGGCAGTTGAATAGTTGAATGGTTATTTCTATATATATATATATATATATATATATATATATATATATATTATATATATATA